GATTCTGATAAATCTGAAAATCTGAAAATCTGAACAATTCATGCGTGCCGTGTCGAAAACCGAACTGAAATGAAACTCCGAACGTTTTACGAACGAGTCCTGGAGCGAAGCCAAACGATTCGAAGATGCATTTGTGCGTGGCCACCTACCGAAGTTTAATCACGGTTTTGTGATCCGGCGGATACACGTTCCTGTCGACGGTTATGCTCATCTCTGTCGATTCGTCAGCCGAATTAGCAATCCGATAAGTCAATGAATCGGATCCTCGACGAGGATCATCCGCCAGAGAGGAACGGTTTGGTATGTCGCCTGCGACGAGACGAGGAAATTACTGCGCAAAACGTTGCTGGATCAACGCAAGCTCCTCACCTTTTCCGCACGCTGCTAACTACAATTTAGTACACGACTGCGAGTGGGGACACAACGATGCAACGTGTCACTGTCAAGGATGCACATTGACGCAACAGATGCTTATATCCTCTCTCTAATGATCAGCCGCTAGTGTTAGGGAACACCGATTCGCTTTAATGATTCGCTAAATTGCACTCGCGAGAAAAACGTTGATATTTTTTTCCCCGGATTCATTTTAATCCTACGAGTTAATCCTTAAGCTGTGACTGAAATTATCAAGAGTCTAGAAATCTAATATCGGCCAAGAAGTATATACATTTTTCTTTAAAAACTTTAAAGACTTTCAATATATTTATATGATACGTAGCTATATTGTAAATTAATTATTTTAAACTCGTATAGACTGAACTACAGGCAATCTTATCTACCTAATCGAGATTGGAACTATTTCCATTGAATGTCAATATTAATCTTTAAAATCAAACGCGTCGTTTTACATAAATTTTCATTTCCGTATAACAGTAACTCTTTGATCTAAGCACTTTCTTACTCGGCCCATTCGTAAAACATAGAACAAAATTTTTAACTAACATCTTTTACACTCGTGTTTCGAAATATTCCTGGTGAATTGTTTAAAAATTCCATGTATATTTGTCAGGATTAAATATCTGAGCCTTATCGTAACACCTATAGCCGTTGTTTCCAAACGAGGACAAGCAGTTATTTGAAAACTTATCTACGGAAATGCAAAGTACCCCGCACTGAAAAGAATGTTTCAGTGTGATGATGTGATGACGCTGTATCGCAAGATATTTAACGAGATTACAGGAAGAAGCGTGTTCTTTGTCAGTGCAACAAGTTGTGTTAAACGGCCAGCCCATTATGCAATGTATCATTTCGACTAATGACCGACATACGACATGGCATTTACATAATCGTCGATCGACGAACGAAAAATTGTTACACCGTTTAATGCCTAATCAATTTCGCCTCTGTTTAATTAGACCGCACGATGTAGAATAACTAATATATAATTATTAATTGTTGCGTGTAATTTCGAAATACTTTCGACTGTTACTAAATTATTGTGCAATAAATTGTTAGAATGACGTTTCTGTCTAACACGTTTGTCGCATACGTTTTGTATCTGATTCTGAGCTGAGACAAAAGAGAGAGAAGAATAGAAAGCAACTAATAAATAAACAAACCATCTAATAAATGAATCATTTAATATAAAGATTAATAGATCTAAAATTTAATCTAACACATAAACAAACCACTTAACAAGTAAATTTATAAATTTTAAATTGAATCTAATAAAATTTAAATCTTAAACTGTATAAATTTATGAATTTTAAGTTTAATCTAATAATAAACCTAAACAAATAAATCAGATACAAAGCATGCAATTACTTGGCTTACTCAATTTCATTAAAGCACCTCATTCCATCAAATCAGTTTTTGAATTAAACTACTCGGATATAGCTTTGACGAAGAGCAAAAGACCATTCAAGCTATTCCTCGTTTTACATGCGCATAAAATTCCACGATTCTTTATTTAAAGACACTTGAGCTCGCCTAAAGGAAAACCAGAGAAGAAAAATAATAAAAGATTAATCAAAACAAATTATTTGACCACTTTCATTCAAATGAAATCGTCAACAAAGTCTGAGAAATGATGAAATTCAAAGTAAATTTTGCACGACCTAAATTCATATCTGCCAAGATGCACTCGAATCTGCAGAATTTTGGACGAGGTTGTTTTCTATCGATGAAACTTATCGAGGGGAAGAATGCGTTCCCCAAAGTGGCTAACGAGGGTTCCAAAATTTATGGTCGAGGGTAAATAGCTGGGTATACTATAATGCGAACGAATTTCTCTATGGAGGAAATAGTGAGATCCTATAACTACGAATTTTTGTGAAAATATGTACATATTTTTGGGAATATAATTAAAAAAGTACAATCTCGATAACAAAACTACTTCAATGTTGTTGAATTTAGTATAGATTTAAAGTTGATGCAACGTATTATAAAAGCATAGAATTAATTTCTACATTTGAAAAATGAACATGGAGAAATATAATCTTCTATATAATCCGATTTCCGATTGAAAATCATGATTTTCAAAGAGTTTCGAACAATTTTAGCAATGATTCTATAATTAGTAGATTCAGCGCATAGTGAGCAACGATATCCAAGATCGAACAGGCCTTCTATTAAAATAACACGACTGTTAGCTTTTGCGGTGTTGGCATGCAAAAACCGTGGCACATGGCACGCATTCGATCCAGCGAATTCGCAGCTCCACACGAATTCCAATACGAATATTCAAAAGACTCGAGGAGTCTTCTCTAATGGACCGACACGTCTCAAGATTTTCAACAAAATATTCAAAATGAAAAACGTTTCTTCAAATTCAGATATATACGAAAATATATATATGAAATATATATATTTATATTAATATTAAAAATATTAAATTTCGAATAATGCTAGAACTAAACTTCAAAAGAAAAGTTTCATAATATTTGTATTAAATTTCAAATTTACTCAAGTATGAAACTTTTAAGAGTTAAAAATTTAAACGGGTTTCATGTACGGAAAATATTTTTCTAAATTTTAAATATACATATATGTTATATATATTATTAAAATTGATATAATATATATTTAAATATCTAAATTTGAAGATTTTCTAATTTTAATGTCCAACAATAGTTTCCCATTTGCTTACTGAGCATTATAATTTGAATAATCCATCTGTGTTTCCCATTTGCTTACTGAGCATTATAATTTGAATAATCTAACCTTCACTGAAATTAGAATTTCAAATGTTCCATAGGCTTGAAACAAACAGAAACATCCAGATTTCTGTAACAAAACGTTCGAAGTTCCTGGGGACAAGAATATCCAGATGTTCAAGGCAAGCGCACACTCCGTTGAAATATAGGCAGGTGCAAATTTTCGTCGATCAAGATCGTTTGTTTCTCGTTTATCCGTAGCAAGAAAGGTACGTCGAGGGGGTTCCTCTCACGCGTTGTTCATACCGAATGCACTGACGAAGCCTCTATAAATAGCGGGTACGTTACTGAAATACGTGAAACGAATATACATACGTGTACACTATTTAAAAAAAGTGGCTAAGATGCGATCCTAATTTGCATCTGCCACGATGAACACGCCGTTTCGTTATTCTATAGTATACGAATATATTTACATGAATGCTCTCTCAAAGAATTGTCAACACCTCGTGAACTTTCTCACGAGATAACAAGAAGTCCATAGGAAATTCAGAGTACGGAAACTTTTCGTGAATCTTTCTACTCAAAATTACCCGAGAAAGTAACTTTGAAAGTAAATTTCAAAAGTTTGAAAGAGTACATTGCAAGAGAATTCTGTCGTTTCTAGAAATCTTTTTACAAATATCATAACTTGAGATTACCTTACCTTTGTACCACTCTGTAGAAGCGTGTTTATGTGTAAGTGACTGAGGTAACGTGAATACAGTGTTATGCTAATTTGCACTAAAAAATCAACACTCATTGTGCAACCGGGCAAACATCGATCCGTAGAAAAAAATTAAATGGCGGCTCTTGGGACACTGTTGCGCCTCCTACAACGTGAGTCAAGTATTTGTGGTTTGTTCATTAATTTGAAATTGACCAATCAGCTTCCGCATACATTTGATCTATGTGAGGTAACTTCAAGGAGGTAACGGATCGCAATACATTTGTTCGCGATTTATATATCACATAGGTTTTTATACTAGTCTAAATTCGAAATTTTTTGCGTTTTATTTTATTTTAGTCGCAATGACCAAGTTAAATAGTTTCCCGATCGGTGATTAATTGATTTTATTGGCCAGCCTGAAACGCAACTTCGCTCCACAGTCGATCATGTGACTCGAATCAAATGTATTTTGGACGGTAACCATTCTCCAATAATTTTTCAGTACGAATAAAATTTTATAACAAAATGCAGCATCGATCGACTTAATCCAATAAATTGACGAATAAATATTGTGAATACAGAAGAAATGAGTATAAAAATTATTGCTAAGTAAAACCAGTGCTTCTTATTTTCGCAGCGTTAAGGAACTTAACTTAATTTTAATAATACAGGTATTAATTCTCTTTTATTTTATCCATGATGAATTTCATAAATAATAAAATAATCATAATGTTTAATGTTCTTGTAGAAAGGACGACACACTTGTATGTAATGATGGTATATAAACAAAGGACACAAAAAAAAATCAAATCAAACACAAGTGAAAGTGTAAATAGATTTTGAATATATTACTTCTTAAATTTAATTTAACAGCTTTTGATACTCATATCGCTCAATCTATTTAACTCTCAAAAGTTGTAATGAATAAGATCTTCTTTCGTGATAACTTTCGAGGGTTAATTTTCAATCTTATAATCGCCTTATCTCTACAAGTATTTTTACACTTGTATTAAAAGTCAGGTTATATAAAAGTATTTGTATCTCGTGCTCTAAACAACATTCATTATCGTAAGAAAACTGAGAAGAACCTTAGTTTGGAAATTCATCAGAATAAATAAGTAAAAGAGGAATCCTACCGGTTGAGCGCGCGTTAAAAGGTTAGGTGCGTCTGAGCAAGAACGCCGGCAGCAACATACCTAGTGGTGCTCTTAAAGAAGTTGTTGCTTTCGCGGTTCATCAACTCGCTACGGAACCGTGACATCTCATCCTCCATCTTTCTCATCTCGGCGTCGAAACGTTCCCGTATGTTGGAAAATTCGGTGTCTATCACGCTGAAGTCACCGAGCTTGATGGGAATATTGCGCTTGATACCACTGTCAGCCATGACTTTTGTCTCAGTCACACTTGTATCTCGTTACACCAAAATGCCACTGAATGGGATACTCGCTCGTATACCAATAAGAAGCACTGTTCTCACGAACGATCGCTTTTAATTATTGCGAATACTATTTTCGATCACGTACAACCGTACTGCACGCTATCTCGCCTAAGAATGAGCGCGGCTCACTGAATGCTCCTTAAATAGTCGCGACGCAATCGTTCGGCTGTTCGTGGGAGTTCGTCGCCACTCGGTAATTTCCGGGAAGATTCGGCTTCGTGCACGCGGTCCAAACCGGGAACGAAATTTCACGAGATTTGACCAGATCTGGACATTTGTTTGATATAATTTTTAATAAATAGATTTTAACAAATGATACAAATCGAGTATCTTAAATTTACTCTTACTTCTACTTTTGCGTAAATATTTTAATTATTTTTGAGTGTTCTAAATTGAATTTGTTCATATGAAAAATAAAAAGTCACAGACAGATATTTCATTGTTTATAAAAAGTGTTTGAAAAGTAAAGACGAGTAAAAGAGATAAATGAAATATCCATATTGTTAAATTAATTGAAAAACGTTGGGATACTTATTAATATAACAGAAAATTATATAAAATTCTTGTTTAATATAAATATAAATTGAGCGTTTCTTGTCCTACTTCACAAGATAGTACCAATACTTCAATTTTTGCATTTTCGAACTTAACAGGATCTCCTATGTGAATCAAGAACCAAATAAGGAAGTAAGTTATTCATATGTGCAACAACGTACAAAGTTTCTGAATAGACATGTGATCTATGAAGAATTGGTGAGCATCTACATATAGGTTAGGATTTCGCACATAACTCGAATGATTATGTTTTATACAAGAGGTGATGACTAATATGTGACCATACGATCATTTCCTTATTGATTGTCTTTAGAACGAAGATGTGCATATGTATGTATACAAGAGATTTTATTTCTATTAGTATCAGATTTCAAAAAAGTTTCATTTCGTCATCGTTATATAAAAACACTTTTGTAATGTCACTTATTATATTTGCAGTTTTATAGAACTGATATTTTAACGATTTATGTCATGGTCATAAACGCGTTAACAAAGAATATTCATGGATGATCCGATTTTCACGATATTAATTGGCTAATTAGATTATATGGTACATCAACATTTTTTATAAAGTCAACAACGCTTATAAAAGCGTCAAGACGTCAATTACCATGTCGACCCAGTTACGGAGTCTTCCCTTCTGGTAAATTTACTCGATTCTCACAATTGCTGTACTTAACGACATTCTATCGATTTTACACGCTTTTCATCAAACATCTATGTTAATTTAAAGAAAATTCCAGGCAATCAACATGTTACACTTAAAATTAATTACCAAGAAGAGTATTTCTATAACAAAGCCATACAACTTTCACGAAAAAGGCTAAACTAATAAATGTGAGTCTCATATTTGAAATAATCGGAAGAACATTGTTGCACATATTAACGATTAATATTTTTACTACAGAATAATCAATATAAAATATCACCATTATCATTAAAACTAGAACAGAAATTCTTTTGACATGAAATTCTGCCACAAATAAAAAGTTACAGCAGTTATTTAAGTACCAAAAAAAGAAACTCGTCACTGTTCTCGACAGTTCCCAAAGCAAGTCGCATTATTCTATAAGTACGTATGACTCACTTCGTATAATATAAATTCAAATCATCTGTACAAATTCCTTTTAATAAATATCTAGAGGAACGTTTTTTCACGTCCATGCTGTTGTAATTATATCACGCGTGACGATCATTTGCATTCCATTTCACGTCGTCCGCGTTGTTCTACATTCTTGTTAATCACGCGTGAACATTCAAGCGTTCTAATTTGGACAGATGTATATCAGGGAGACACGAAGGCCGCGATTACTACATAACTTTCTGTTTATGTCTGCTGGAATTGCGTGAGATGTTCTGTTTTTTTTCGTGGCATTAAATCCTACAGGCGAATGATGCTGGCCGCTATTTTCGCGCGTTACACCGCCGTTATACGCGCCGAACTGAATGGACCGACGTGACGTGTCACGACGCCTCCTTATTGTTCATAAATAGTCCTGGTTGCAGTTTCACACTTGTCCACGATGAATCAAAGTATGTGGAATGTTTTCTCGTCATTGTGATAGTGATGTTGATTTGTTACAGCTAAGCGTACCAGCGGAGGAGAGCTGAATCACACCCTATTTGATCAAATTGAAATAACAACCCTCATCAACATTAAATTGTATGCGTGATTACTCTCTGAATGAAGTTCATGGAAAATACTTGAAGACATTAAAAATTTTTATATATTCTAACATTTTTCTTCAGTTTTTACTTGACATTCATTCTAATTTATTTCTGCTGATAGTCGCCTTCGTGAAATACATCATTCACCTTCCAGTCGTGAAACAAAGATCTCCCCGAGAAGCAGCTTTAAAATTTATGGCGACAAAACCACATAGAAGAGAGCGGAGACGTGATGACAAAGTGTGTCAATGTCAAACTTCAGACGATGTTTCGAACTTCTCTCTCAGAGAACGATTCGTTCTTTCTCTGTGCGTTTTTCTTAAACGTTCACGGAATTCTTAAGTTTCTCGTTAAGACTCTGCGTGGGAGAACATGGTTATCATGACGTCATCTTCTGGAGGTTTTACTGATCGATAAAACACGTCACAATGGTCACTAATATGGATTGGTCTTACGTCCATTTGTTACGTAGCGAGTTACCACTATACGCGTTGCTCCACCTCAAAAAACAGCAAAGAATATCAAGGTGAAATCGTATATTTTTAACGTTTCATACCGAATTTAAATTCATCTTCCTCCTTTGTGTAATTTTGCATACAAATTCGTAGTCTAATGGTAATAAATATATCAATAAATAAATAAACTTATACGTAGATCTATTTGGTCTCTTTCGAAAAAGAGATCATAACGTTTTAATAGTCTCAACTTAAGAATATATCAAACCAGAAAATATGTAAACATGTTTCATTCTCTTTCAAGAAACTCTCTATTTCAGAAGAACCAATTTGTTAAACTTCTGGCTTACGAAGTACTCGAAATTGAATATTAGCGGAACGTGAACAACATAATTTGTTGATGAATAACATTGTTATGCCAGACAAAACGACAGAAGCGAAATTGCTTGCCAGACAATTATATGTAGCACGATATGCAGAAGAAAACAACTAAACAGAGGTTGTAGAAAAGATAGTACACTTCTTCGTTATACGCCACCGACTATTAATAGCTAAAAGTTCGAAAGAGAGCCATAGTATCCAAGGCCAGATTCGACCAAAAGAATTCTTTAGCCATTCGACCTTTTTGACCGTCATTCTTCGACGATTCAATGTCGAGGGTACCGCGCAAATTCGGTCGTGCAGAACAAAACTAAAGAACTAAATCTATGTCTCGATTCAAGACTTTTAAATAAGAAACATTTAACCTTGCTATTCTTTTGGACTCTATATAACCCAAAATGAATATTATATCAAACCAGATAAATATTATTAAAATATACATATATAGTTTGAAGTATTTAAAGTTTTAAAGGTCTCAATATTCAGTATAATTTTAAGACCTTTTATATAATTCAGACTTTATAAATAATAGTAATTTTATAAATAAAGTATTGTGAAAAAAAATGAAAAAATGGAGAACAGCAAGGCTAAGCAATAATAAATAATTTTGCAAAATGATTTCAAATTTTCCATGAAATCATTTAGAAAATAATTATCTTGCTAATTTCTTAGTAATAGGAACTTTTTAGTAACAGTATTCTTCTTAGAAACAGAAGTTCCATTATGCTAATTATTGTTTGTTAGATAAAGAAACAAAAAGAAACCGCTCGCTAATTTAGAAACAATTTGTTGGAATGAAAAATAGGTGTTGATAACACAGCCAGGATGATAAAAGGTAATTTCATTCAATATTTCGCTAGCAAGCAGACAATGAGCACTTAATAGTCATTTGTACTTGGCTTACTTAGAACGATTGAATGAGGAGGTTGACTGATGTTGTCGTACGACGACTTCGCATCGCCACTACTGACTTGAGTACAAATGGGATCTGAGGTTAACGTGCTGTGATGTCATTCGCTGATATCATAGTGTCCATCTTTTACTTTAGTATCCTGACAAGAAGAAAAAATTCAGCAAAAGCACAGCTTTTCGACTTTTCAAATTGTTCCTTCAATTTCAATCTCCATAATAATTCAACGACATGTGTACTTACATCATTGTCACGTGTGATATACCTACACATTTAATTAAAGTCTATAATTAAAAGAAAATTTAGAAGAAAATTAAATAAGTATTATGCCCTTGTATTCCTTTCTTAAATTGACGAGAATTGAGAATTGAGAAGCATTATCAGTGAAACAACACTAAACGAGTTTACCATATGAAGAAGGATAAATGTTACAGTACCGAATTTTCTTTGTAAACTTGTGAAACTTGATAACCGATTGTAACATTCGCACTACGTATGTAGATTTGCAACATGATCCAGATGTAACTACTTATAGCACTTATGCACGAATATATTTGCTACATAAACGATACAGCTCAACTAAATTTAATTAAATAAATTAAACTGTCCTCTTCGTTAAATCATATTTCAGTGCTTCAAGTTCGCACACAAGCATACACTCTTACTTATTACATCAAACAGCTAAATATTATTGTTAATAAAGTATGGAAGTATAAAAGACAACTTGTTTATGGAATAAAATTGTAAAAATTGTTGATAGAAACTTTAAAACTTTAAAACATGAATTTTTTATAAACATCCACATGTGTTACATTTGAAAAACGTAAAATACAAAAAGTCTTCGTGAATATTGAATGTATTTAATTACATGAATATAATATGAAACTTTTTCTTCGTTTGTCAGAAATTATTGTAAATTATTGTAAACCAGGAATCTTAGACCAGATTTGATACCAGTTAATTCATCATTTTTCAATTCTACGTACGTAATAGTAGTAGACGCAAATAAATACGGTAGTGACCAATGTCACTGCCACGAATAAACTAACAATACGTAATGCAATGACAAGTGTCTATAATTGATTGTGCAAATGCGATTTCTCTTTAATTTGTTTTTCTTAGTACACTGTGATATTGTAATCATTATATTCCAATTTTTAACCCAAATAAGGAAATAAATATATCAATATTTCATTCAACTGTATTTACTAAACAATAATAATAATAGATATTACTGTAAGAAATAAACGTATTACGTTAACACTGTTTAGCATATTTTTAGATAACTGTAATTAAATAGAAATTTATTTTAAATCAACATATTTGTATCTAATATTGTATTTAATTTCTATGGACATATTAAATAGCGTCAGTTAATAATAAATGTTTATGTACATATATAATAATATATAGAAGTTTATAAATGAAAAAAGTACACTCAATACAGTAATTATTCAATATACATACAATGTGAATAGCAGTGTACATTTCATTCAATTAACGCGCCATTTAATTGATTCGAGTCCCTCTTGCGTTTACTGTCAGAACTTACAAAATTAACATTTCGTGAAACTCGTTAACAAACATGAGGCATAATAAAAATATTTCTAATAAAAAGCAATCAGAAAATGTAAACAATGAAAAGAAACCATTTAACAAGAAGAGATATAGGTTGCAGAAGTACAGTAATAAATATAAAAGTATGTCTGTAAGAATATTGAGAAATTTGGTTTACGTATATAGGTTAGTTTAGATATAAGGAATATAATCTTCACTTAATTTCGTTATATTCATATATTCCAGTTAATCAATGGGAGGAACGCAGAAAGAAAGCTGTCTTACGAGAGTTTTACAAGAAGATTGATAAAGATCAGCTACAGAATCTAAAGAAATCTACTTTCAAAACTGATGAACACAAGTATGTATATTTATTGTATTTATACATACTATTATATGATTAGTAAATTTTATATAAGAAATAGAAACTTAAAAATTAATGTTGATCTTTAAAATTCGTGTTTGTTTAAAGGAAACAAGAAAAGAGGGTCAATATATTTCAAAAAGCAAAAGAAGAATTCCTTCGCAAAGAAGATGAAAAAAGGAAACAAAAGAAAGAAGCTTTACGAGTGAAAATGGAAAAGGAAAAGGCACTTAAGAAATATAAAGAGAAAAGAATACAAACATACAAAAAACTCTCAAAGAAAACAAAAAAAGGACAGCCTGTAATGAAAGATAGATTAGAAATGTTACTTGAAAAGATACAGCAGCAAGTATCACAGTGATATCGTGGAAAAATGTCATACAATTTTAAAAACATGAAAGAATTATGAAGTTAAATATTATTTACTAATTATGTTACTACTACTAAGAAATATATATGTAGTAACAAATAAATTTGAATAAATACTTTTCTATAAAATGATCTCTGTTAATGCAATACAAATACTCTTTTAATAAAAGAGAATAATAATATTTAATTTGTGCTAATCGTTATAATATGTCCATTGCATAAAGAAATATTAAATGATAAAAGAAATATTAAAATTTTTGTTTTCCAATTTTCAAGATTTTGATATGTATTTTTTACTTGTTCATTAGATTCTACAATCCTCATAAAAATTAAAATACTATATTGTTGAACAAATATTAACGAGGTTTCAAGACATTCGTGCAACGAATCAAGAGCGATTAAAATTTACTTTATCTTCGCTATAAGCGAAGATGTAATAGAAAAAAGAAAACGATCGATGAAATAGCAGCAGATTTAAAATACGAATTTGCCCGCGCAACATTGAAAGCGCAGGCGTAGTGGCATTTGACGGGTAGCCGTCAGCTAGTCAGCGGTTGCAAATGGCGACAGCCACGAAATCTCTGGCACCGACTCGCGAATAGTTTCACGCCTACTGAGTACGTGACCGAGCTGTGCGTGAACGTTACCCTAACCCAGATTGGTATGTATTTAAAACTGATCCGTTAACCAAAATGCGTAGCAAATAATCTTTTTCTTCAGAAAACGTAAGTCGCACTGGTTGCATTCGCCACCCCGTACGACAGGTCATCAAAGACAAAAATCCATCGTTCAACCTGTCTATCTCTTTCGAAACATCCCTTCTGCTTGCTCGATCGATACACATTGATTATCTGGTGATTTCTTAGTGAACGTTGCTATAATTTTTCGATATAATCTCACGAATTTCCGCGTAATGGGATCCACTATCAAAGTTTGCACCACACTGCTGTCAAAATGTGTTTTCCATCGGAAATCTAGGACGCGGTACCGGCTTAATCGCTCGATTTTCCTTTCGAGCAGTAGAATAGGTCTCTATTTCCCACGACTTACTGCTTTGATTTTTAACATTCGTGTAATATACTAGTTTTATTTGCTAATATCGAACATGTATTTCGTATATTTTCGTCGTAAATTACTTGAAGAGGCCAAAGGGCTTGTTGGTTCGAGTACTTTTAATCAACGAATATTGTTCAAATCACTTTCTTGAGCCTCCCCCTATACATCTACTGCATGCCGTCAAATAACAGTGTATATTTGTGAGTCTACAAGTAACTTTTCATAAATTAATTCATAAACAGTGATATGGAGAGTTTCATTGATCTATATGTACATACATACATGTATGTACATATACGTATATGCATATATACACATATATAAATATATATATATATATATATAGCGACTTTATATGTATATATATTTCTTTTAATATTATAAATTTATATTTATATTTATTAAACACTATTTTATAATTGCAAATATTTATAATCCATAATAGTCTGACATATATTTTCTTATAAACATTTATGTAATTGAGATTTTTAATTGTTATAGAAATTATAGATTGTAAATAGATGTTGATAAACATTTTAATTGAAATTTTATAAATTAAAATTATATTTCTCATGGATATGAGTGTAAATTTCTTTCGTTATATTTTATTTCACAGGTGGTTTTAAATAAAAGAAGACAAGATGCCGGCTGTGAGAGGAGATGGCATGCGTGGACTGGCAGTATTCATTTCTGATATTAGAAATTGTAAGCTAAAGTTTCTATTATATATTTTTGAATTATATTTTTTAAAAAATTAATGAACTTGCAGTTTATGTTAATTATAATATCTTTATTTATTATACTATCAGATAAAACGAAAACAAGTGAACTTTTGAATTATTAAAATTTTGACCCATGTTCCATTAAGAGATACGATGCTATTGAAACTAATGTGACACACAGAGTATTTAAGGCAGTGAAGAGTAGGAGACAGGGGGCGGAGTTCTGATAGAGGCATATCTTTCTGATATAGCTTATATTTCAAACACTAATATGTAATACTTGGCATAATACACAATAAATGAATATTAAAACTAATACTTTCAGTTTCCTTGAGAAATCTTTGTAGATATAAATAGAATGTAAACTGAAATATGGGTTAACTATGTAATATTTGTATTATTTAATGTAATAAATAATTATGTAAGAACTAGAATAACAAATTGAGTCTTATAGAGCAAATCAATACATCTGTACTTTGATACCAGTCCAAGTGGCATACAGCCATTGTAGTTTTTTATAATGAAATGTATAATTAAATGTGTGTGTTTATATATAAATGATATATAAATGATATATAAATGATAGATACAGATTAAATATGTAAATACATATCATCATTAGTTTCATATTCACAGAAATGATGTAAACTTAAAAAATTGTTAAGCAGTTTTTTTCTTTTTTATTTATTCTTTTAGGCAAAAGCAAAGAGGCAGAAATAAAGAGAATAAACAAAGAATTGGCAAATATTCGCAGCAAATTCAAAGGAGACAAGACACTTGATGGTTATCAAAAAAAGAAATATGTTTGCAAGCTCCTTTTTATTTTTCTGCTTGGTCATGACATTGATTTTGGACATATGGAAGCTGTTAATCTACTTTCATCTAACAAGTATTCAGAGAAACAAATTGTAAGTGTTACAATCTATTGAAATAAATAATGCACATATAAATTATGTTGAAATTTAATATAACTATTATTATTATTACTTTTAGGGTTACCTTTTTATATCAGTCTTAGTAAATACGAATAGTGATCTCATTAAATTAATAATTCAAAGTATAAAAAATGATCTTGCATCACGGAATCCCATTCATGTTAATCTTGCATTACAATGTATTGCTAATATTGGCAGTAAGGAAATGGCAGAAGCATTTGGCAATGAAATACCAAAATTACTCGTTTCTGGGTATATAGTAATAGTAATCAATATTTCTTATATAGTATTTATTTGTAAAACGAAGAATAATTATCTTTTGTTTGTAGAGATACTATGGATGTTGTAAAACAAAGTGCGGCATTATGTTTATTACGATTATTGCGTACCGCACCAGATGTTGTTCCTGGTGGAGAATGGACTTCGCGCATAGTTCATCTTTTAAATGATCAACATCTTGGTGTTGTTACTGCAGCCGCATCTTTGATAGATGCTCTTGTAAAAAGAAATCCAGACGAATATAAAGGATGTGTTAGTTTAGCAGTTTCAAGATTGAGCAGGGTATGACATAGTTTATTATTCCAATAAATGATTAAAAAATAACTACTTTATTTTTATTCTATCGAAATAGATTGTTACATCGAGCTACACAGACCTACAAGATTATACATATTACTTTGTACCAGCACCATGGTTATCTGTTAAGCTTTTACGATTATTACAGAACTATACTCCACCTGGTAAATTATTTTTATTTAAATTATAATCATATTCTAAGATAATTAAGGCAATAATTTTATTTTATTCTTAATTTTTCAATAGCTGAAGATCCAGGAGTAAGAGGTAGATTAAATGAATGTTTAGAAACTATATTAAACAAAGCTCAAGAACCGCCAAAATCAAAAAAGGTGCAACATTCGAATGCTAAGAATGCTGTATTATTCGAGGCTATTAGTTTAATTATTCATAACGACAGCGAGCTGCCTTTATCAGTTAGAGCGTGCAATCAACTCGGTCAGTTTCTATCCAATCGTGAAACTAATCTTCGTTACTTAGCACTTGAATCTATGTGCCATTTGGCTACATCAGAGCTGTCGCACGAAGCCGTGAAGAAACATCAAGAAGTTGTTATTCTATCAATGAAAATGGAAAAAGACGTATCTGTTAGACAACAAGCTGTTGATCTTTTGTATGCTATGTGTGATAAAAGCAATGCAGAAGAAATAGTACAAGAAATGCTGAACTACCTCGAAACTGCTGATTATTCTATTAGAGAAGAAATGGTTCTTAAAGTGGCGATTCTAGCTGAAAAATATGCTACCGATTATACTTGGTATGTTGATGTCATTTTAAATCTCATTAGGATAGCTGGTGATTACGTTTCGGAAGAGGTATGGTACAGAGTTATCCAAATTGTCATCAATAGAGACGATGTGCAAGGATATGCAGCGAAAACTGTTTTCGAGGTAGATAATACAAAATTACATATATATATATTTTTTATCTAAATATTCCATTATGAATAAAATTGTAAAATATTGTGATTGTTTTATTAGGCCTTACAAGCACCAGCTTGTCACGAAAATATGGTTAAAGTTGGTGGTTACATACTTGGAGAGTTTGGAAATCTCATTGCTGGTGATCAGCGCTCTTCTCCAGCTGTTCAATTTCAATTACTTCATTCCAAAGTAAGTAGTATAAACTTTTATGTATTTAAACACTTAATATATTAATGCGTTTCTAATTCTTTTATTTTTCAGTATCACTTATGTTCTCCAATGACTCGAGCATTGCTACTTTCAACCTATATTAAATTCGTTAATCTGTTTCCCGAAATGAGAAGTCAAATTCAAGATGTTTTCAGACAACACAGTAATTTACGTAGCGCAGATGCAGAATTGCAACAGAGAGCTTCAGAGTATCTTCAATTGAGCATTATTGCTTCCAGTGACGTTTTGGTAAACAATAAGTTATACTCAAATTAATTTTACTCTATTTTAAAGTTTAACGACATTTATTAAATATTTGTAATTTTTTTCATAGGCTACGGTCTTAGAAGAAATGCCAGCATTCCCAGAAAGAGAATCTTCCATTCTTGCCGTTTTGAAAAGAAAGAAACCGGGTCGAGTTCCCGAGAATGAAATCAGAGAAAGTAAAAGTCCTGCACCAAATGCCAATCATCATGCGGAAGCGCCCGCCAGTATAACAGGAGCTGTTAATAATACATCGGCAGATTTATTAAGTCTTTCTACACCACCATCTTCTCAACCAACTAGTAATACAGGAGTTTTACTTGACGTATTAGGTGATATTTATAATATGCCAAACAAAGTTGCTACTAACGGTGCCCAAAATACCTATAATCCCAAAAAGTATGTTAATATAGGAAATATTTAATAATAAAAATATGTTCAGAAGAATATAGTTTAACTTCTAAATTTTGTATTTTATAGGTTCGTGTGCAAGAATAATGGCGTATTATTTGAAAATGATCTAATTCAAATTGGAGTAAAATCGGAGTTCAGGCAAAACTTGGGACGTGTCGGTCTTTTTTATGGAAATAAAACTCAGTACGCTCTTCATAGTTTTCAACCACAATTATCTTGGTCCGAAGAAAATCAACAGAAATTAGCTGTACAAGTAAAACCAGTTGATCCCGTATTAGAAGCTGGTGCTCAAATACAACAAATGATTAATGCAGAGTGTATTGATGACTACAGTGGTACGATAAGCTATATAATATTTTAAAAGTTGTTCTCATTACTTTTGTTTTATTTAACCTGTCTTGAAATTTTCTTTTTTCTGTATAGATGCACCGAGCACGATCATTTCTTTTATTTATAACAATGTGCCACAAAAGATAACAATGAAATTACCGTTAACAATCAACAAATTTTTCGAGCCTACAGAAATGAATGGTGAATCATTCTTTGCACGGTGGAAAAATCTTGGAGGGTATGTAATTTATTCTAAAAAATATTTCTCTATTTTCACTTTTATTATGTTTTTTCAATTAAAACTTTTATGTTAACATTTATTAATTCATTACATACAATAAAACTTGGCCAAGATAGTTTGGCTTAACAATACGTTGAATAATATATGAATAACTTACACTTTACATCTAGAGCGAACCAACAACGCTCACAGAAGATTTTTAAAGCACAACAGCCAATGGATCTTGCGCAAGTTCGCACGAAATTGCAAGGATTTGGAATGCAGTTACTCGATGGTATCGATCCGAATCCTGATAATTTCGTCTGTGCAGGAATAGTACATATGAGGGCACAACAAGTAGGATGTCTTTTACGTTTAGAACCTAACAAACAAGCGCAGGTAATTTTCAAAATGAAATAATGCTTCTTAAAATGAAATCATAAACATTAAATTTCTTAAAGCAAAAATTTGATAAACCTATTTACTGTTAACTTTATTTTGTAGATGTTCCGTTTAACAGTACGTTCGAGTAAGGAATCAATGTCAGTAGAGATCTGTGACCTGCTGGTGGACCAATTTTAAACGGCCTAGCAGGCGTGAAACTAATTTAAGATATATTAACGCCGTGAGAAGACATATCGTGATTATTGAAGGATGTTATCTCTCGACGTTCAAAAGATGTGTGTTAAGAAATATTTGTTGTATGCAAGCTTACACTCACAGCGCGGTCATAAGAACTGAACCCTTGTGTAGGCGAAATATTGTTACCAAGTACCTACGAACAAATGACAGGATTGCTAAAAATATGGTAAAGGTGAATTGTGTACACGAAAAACAAACAAAAAGAAAAGAAAGCAGAAAATCTATACAACATATGACTATAATGGACAATATTGAGTCCATGAATGAAGGTAACGATATAGATATTATCTTTACTTTTTTTCTTTTTTTTTAATTTAATATGTGTCTATAGTAAAAAGTTATAATTTGTAACTTATCCAATGATATGTAGATGCATACCACGGGTATTTGCAAAAAACGAAAATAGTTGAGAGTCACAAAGCTACATTATTTTTTTCAGTGATAAGTGTTTTTAATGAGTTTACTGCGTCGGCTATAGCAATTCCATATTTGTTAGGCCGTACTATTGAATTTGCGTGCTCGTGGTGCATTCTCATCTCCAGCTTCCCTTTTTTCTACGTACGATTTCTTTTTCGTACTGATTTTCGTTTCCTCTTTTTTTGAGATTATCATTGTTGCGCGAGCGAAAGTAGATATGGGTACGATGACAGTAGTTGTATAATATTAGTTCGTTACCATAGATTTTTCCTTGTATTTTACGAGCTCAAAATTTCTCCTGTAATTAATATATTCGAGATGGTCGTTCCCATCCCAATTTCGTTCCCTCTACTCCACTTGATCCCTGGCCTTTCCCTGATTTTCTGTATCTTATAAATGATAAAATCCATGGCTGGTTTCATTCTTTGGCTCACAGAGAAGCGCGATTAAATTCAGTGAGAGGCAAACGAACAAAGAAAGAAAAAAAAAAAGAAAGATAAGAAAGAATAATCATTAGAAGAATCACTTTTCTAATCATTTTTAACGAATCTTGTGTGAGATGTATATTTCAGTAGTATATCTTGTACAGATGATATTTACGGATACGTTTGGAGATTATTATGTTTTGCGAGTGATAATGAAGAAAAACGAGAAAAAATAAATATGAAAATAGAGCAGCTCTGAGTGACATTTGAAACATGATTGCATTGCAATCATATGCTTCACGATTACTCTGTCTGTTATTATGAAAATTGTAAATCTCTAATTGAATTGTATATAAGAAATTCATTGATTAAATGTGCCAATGACAAATAGTCATTGCGCGAGACACGTAGAATCCTGTATTTGCAGGCATGGCGATCTTATAATAATCGTTCCTTCCTGCTATTTCAGTTATATATTTCTTTATCATGCGTACATGAGATGTATATTTTTTTTATGTTCGTATATAGTATACATTTATATTCGAAGCCTTTCTCCTTACTTTACCTGTGATTCCTTTTATCGTTTTCGACTATCTATTATTTACATATTAGCATGAATCGAAAACTGTAGCATGACCTATCAAAAGATCTGTATAAAGAATGCGTTTCTAAGGATACTGTGCTATCGGTGTTTTATTTCAATTTTAATCATTGTTACGCGAGGAAGTATCCTAAAAAAAACGAAAGTCGGATAACAGTGTATCATAGATCTAATTAGCGTTAAAAATTTAAGTTAAAAGAACGCTTGCATTCTCATTCTTAATATATACGTGAAGAACGTGTTCTTAATATATACATATGTTTCATGTTAAAGTTACACAAGCGTTTATTGGACACATGTGAATCAAATGAAACGGAAAATGTTAAATAGAAAAAATAAATTTTTTTATTTAACACTGATTTTTTCTTTCATTTAATTCGACAATCCGCACAAAAAATGCTTGTATGATTCTAACTCAGATATATATATTTTTTTTATCGTAATCTTTTGCGAATTATTGTTTTACATTTCTATAGTATTTAATTTAAAAACAAGATACGTTGGAAGTATACTGTGTCCAGCAATAAAATATAATTGCTTATGAAATACACAAGTACATATATATATACCTAAGAGAATTTTACAAATAACTAGCGAAATTTGCATTCTGTTTTCATTTAGGCTAATGCGACAGCATTATGCATACATTACATAAGAAACGAACATTCCTGTCTTAAAATAATATGAACAAAGAAAATTCGTATATATAATAGGTACATAGAAATACTTTATATTTATATATTTAAGTCGGTTTCGAAAACCTATTTTTTTAATTATACGTCGCTTCTGAAATCTAAAAGCAAAGAGGCGCAGGATCGAGATTCGTTATAAGTTGTATAAGTTCAAATCAGGTCGTTTCTTTCACAGTTACGACTATTCTTGCATCGGTTTTACTCAGTTTTGTACATATAAATATATAACACTATATTTAGATATATTTTCGATCTCTAAACACGAAACAATATTACGATCGAATAAACGACGTGCATATAATTACTAATTAATTGATAATAAGAATAATCGCCCAGTCATGGATTTGTTAAGAGATGATTTACATTTAAAAAAGGATTTAAACGGAATTCATATGACAATTCCACCATTTCACACGTGTCAGTGTGTTTATCTTCGCAGAAGTGTGAATCATGTTCATCCGATGAACCTTAAATACAAATGATACGTATATATATATTATATATATATACACGCGCGCGTGGATGCATATATCATATAAATAAAGTACACATAATTATATATATATATATACATATATATATAATACGAATTATTGAGATGTGTGCGGTGACACACGATTGTTAGATTATTATGTTGCGGTGTCCTAATCGAGTGACGATCGTGACATACATATTAATGACACGCGTTTGTTACAACGCTGCAGAGATTTAATCCAATCAACTGATCCTTTGTCTGTCTCGTTACTTTTTACTCCTCGTGTATAGGTTTAATGTAGGAATTTGATTATAGCAGAAAACGCAATCACAAGTTACTAATAGGCTCTGACAAAGACGTTTGCAATTGAGCCGAATTATTTAGCACAGATCCAACGTACGTATACACTATGAAATTGTTCAATGTTACCATTGCTCGTGAAAAATTATTTCGTATATCATATTTAGCATGGATGTACAGTATATTTTCCCATACAATTATGTACAAATCTCTTTCTCTGTTGTATAATCTGTGCTCCTTTCATTTATTCTCAATTTTTCGTATGCAAAAATTGATTTATTATTCTCGATTTTACAATTAGATTAAGTAGCCTTTGATGGTTTAACCATCAAAATCATATATATAAATGAATTTTCTTAATTTCTTAATCTCAAACGTGATAATGAATTTTTCAAGATTGAAACTTTTAGTCAAACTTCTTTTAACTTTTTTCTAATCTCGCGTTTCTTTTCGTGCAAAGTGTGTTAAGAGATGAAACAAGTTCAGAAAAAATTCTTGACATAGATCTGAACATAGATCTAAAAATTATTAGAAATAAAATTAGATGTAATTAGAAGAAACTAGCGAACAATCCACTGACAATATCTTATTACCAATGATTTTCGAATCTATATTTTCTAAGAATTTTATACGCGTACATATGCACGTATGAATCGCTTACTAAGTTAAGTTATATGTATTATACATTCGTATTCATTGAAGAATTTAATAGAAATTATTTACTAGTATTTCATAAGTATATAAAATAAAATGATTATAATTGGTCGTTAAGCCATCGAAAGTAGTTTCTCGTTTGTCTCTATTTAATTTAGAACGAGTTTATATTGACACGCTCGGCACAAAGCATGAATACAGGAATTGTTCACACGACTGTGAAATTTTCTCGATCATCGATCAATTGATTGATATGTATTTTTTAAATGAAAATTTCTACATTTAATCTTTACACGAGGAAGACTGTAAAATTCTCAAGTTATTTAATAATTACGTTTATTTTATTTCTCATCGTCGACAACAGTAAAGATTCACTTAAAGATATCAGTCTTTTGCGATCTTTCTGCGAACGTTGTTCTATATCATTTAGCTCTACTTACATGTACGTTTGTAAAATGCTCTTGATTTATATTATTAAACTATACATATACATAATCTCGTATAAGTGTGCTCTCTCGATTATTCGACTGGCTCTCGTATTAATGTTGCCCGCGCCTGAGCTGACACAGCTTTATTTTATCGCCAAGCAATTATTAAGAAATCGATAAAACATGTCAATAAGGAAATATTGATCCAATTTTTCGGGGACTAAAGTTGATACTTGACAATATAAGCTTAGCTCGAACTACCATTTGACGTAATTTTGAAATTATTGAAAAGCTTATAGAAAGTTATATTTTGCCTATGGATTATAAATGAATTTTTTTCTATTTTTCACTTCGTCCACTTGAAAGAAAAAAAAAAATACAATTGATCATTTTAAAAAATACAACGAACAATGCAGACAAAGTTTTATTAAGAAATTGTTCGAATTGTCGTTCAAATGGTATGTATGTATGTATGTATCGTCTAATTGTAGGGTACATGACAATTCGAATATCTCTTCGACTTCTTCCAAATTGCATCTTTCGGTTCGTGGTTTTCGTAACCGAGAAATCGAGATATCTTAGCTTAACGTTTTCGAAGCTTTCAAGTACCGTGCCAAAAAAAGAAAAACAAGAACTTAAAGGAAAATAAATGAGAAGCAACACTTTGTTCATCGATTTGAAAGTATAAAAATTTCCACGGGGTCCACATTATGTCAATGAACAAATCTTACGACTATTTAGAGAGCGTTATAAATTTACTCAACGATGTTTCGTGAATTGTTACGTTCGCGATTGATCTTTATGCCTAACTTCAATAACGTCCTGGAACAATAGCGATAGAAACGACTCGATTCTCGTTTTTTGACACTTTTTACGCAAGGATTGTTCGGTGATGCGTCAAGTATGAATTGCGAGAATAAAATATAAAACATAAAATATTTACTCGCCGCAAAAAAAAGTGTGTATGTTGCATTATGTTGATATAGCTTACAAACGCTTCGTATATACCGTGTAGCACAGTATTAATAATCGTCATGATCAAAGAACATAATAGATTTGACAGGACAACAGGTAGCTAAGCAGTGAACGTTTTCTATGTATTTTCAAAGTTCCTTAGAAAGATAGAAGACATATAGTTAAGGTTGTCTTGATTATTACAAATAATTAATACAGTTGACTCAATGCGAGGATTGTTTTATTTGTATTCATCCCATTAAGACGCATTTTACACTTCTTCCATGGAAAGATCGAAACGAAATGATCATTCTAATATAATGATCAAACTGTAATTTTTGTGCTTCATAAGAGTATAAAAAAAACTTAATATAATGGTTAAATTTTAATTTTTATGCTCCATAAAAATGTCGATAATATGAGAGTTCCATTTGAAAAAAAAAAGCTTGAAAATGTTGCAAAAACGTGAGAGTATTGAGTGTCCCAGTTAACATTGGAGAAATTTGAAAATCTTTATTAATACATATTTTGAAATGTAAATGGAACATACAACAAAAGCTAAGAATCTTAAACGAACGAAATGAAATAAAACGAACAATGAAATTTCAAAAATTGACAAATTGTTCCTCTTTATATTTTCGTAATTAGTGCAAATTGTCTCATTTTGTCTCATAGTGATGCCATCTGTCGCTAAGTTAATGATATTATTTAAATTTAAAAATAATTATTTATTAATTTTTACGACGCAACATGGACATAAAAGGAAAGCTAAAGATCTAATTAAAAAGGCCCAATGACAAAAGTTTACTATTTAATTCTCTAAATTCATTTTTTTTGCAAATGAAAATTTATCTGTTTTACGGGGCGCCAAACACTAGCGCCGCGTTGTGGTGAAATGGAGGAACTAAACGCTTTATATTCATATTAAAAAAATAATTAATCTTAACGATTTACACCAATAATTTGCATTAATTAGGTATACATTTCCACGATGATGTTACTTTTGATATGGTGGCGCTATCAATAAGTCGATGGTACTAATTATTTTTAAAAATTTTTATTTGTGCACTTTAGGCTTCAAATAGGGTAAAAAGAAGGCCAGGGATCTAATTAACAATATGCAATTACAAAAGTTCACAATTTAATTCTCTAAATTCATTTTTTTTTTTTTTTTGCAAATGAAAATAATAATTTCGCTTTCAGATTATAGTTATTATGTAGATTATAATTATATAAACGTACGTTTGAGCATCGATAATAGAAGAGGTTGTTCAAAAATAGAAAAAAGAGACTTATATAGATTATTATATCTGTATTTTATTATGTCTATATAGTAGACGTGTCTTTTGTCAATGAATGAACATTGACATAAATAAATACAACGGATAGAAAGTAGAATGGTGCTTTGGTGAATTTCCATCCGTGATCGAGATTCATTAAAAAAAAGAAATGTCTGCGTGATAAATAAAGTTTCTTAGCTCTTCAGTAACGAAATAATTAACTTCTGTTCCTTAGCAGAAAAATCTTCAATTAAGTTTCGTTTTTATATATGTATGTATCTAGTTCTCAATATAATCAAGAAATAATCAAGAAAATAATAATTGATAAATAAATTTAAGCAGCACGCTTCATTAAAATGACAAAGAGTTTCATATCGTACATTTTATTAACAATTGATTAATGTTACGCACAATGATCGAGCTAAAATTTTTGCAAATTATAGTTATCTTTATTTCACTGCAGAGCTAGAATAACATTTGTTGCTAAAGTTCAAGAAACAAAATATTGAGCGAATGACGGAAATCTCGGTTCCTGTTTTGACACAATAACTGAATCGTATTGTTATCGTTTCTATGTATATTTACACAAGTGTATTTACACGCTTTACACGAGTGATTTTCAGCGGCGTGTGTATGTACTTACATATCAAGTAACATCGAAATATGCTTATCTTATAATAATTTACTTTTCTAAAGAGATCTTACGAGAAAGATGTTTGGTGGTTTCTGGACATAAATGTTCAAAAGTTTACGAGTAAATATGTAAATTCTTTCTGGAGAGAAAAGAAGCTCTTTGAGAGTCTTTGCAGGAAGAAAGAGAGAGAGAGAGAATTCTTCCTTTCTTATTGTTAGAATGAAAGAAGAATTGTCCGAGAGAATTTACATATATCCAGATAATACCACAGAGATCTTTGGGTATAATTAAATATGACATAGACGCATATCATACAGGGATCTACAGTCAGGACGTACTTAAACGATTGTCTCATTGTATTCAAACAAACACCGAATGTAAATCGCGGATACTCAGAAAATCGCAGCTAGGTGATTACTTTAATTTGCGATAGAAGTTAATGTAAATTTCTAGTCTTAATTCTTTTTATATTTTCATATTGTATGTTGTATTCTATGAACAAGGATTCTAAATTCTTAATCGGCAACGTAAAGTAAAATTAATGATTTTTAATGAACATTTAACATGAGCATCATAATTAAAGAGCTATTAACATCAAAGGTGCGATATATTAATCGGTGGCACATGTCTCGTGTCGACTTCGTATGTTATCTTATCGTCTACTTAGTAGCTAACTGACTAGCAATCAAGGATCGATCCAAACCGACCGACTCCTTTTCGAACATTTATTTATACATATTATTAGAATATACAGTAAGAAAGAAATAGTAAGAAAGTTGAAAAGAACGAGCACCAAAATTGACAGATAGTTTCTGTTAGGCTTCAACCAGTCGGATCTAAAGCGCAAATATCGATCGTTTCAATAACTCAATTCTTCTCTTCATTAACTGTTTAAATTCGATCAATCATTTCAGCAAAATGGTTCGCTTGTAGTCTTCAAATTTTCAAACGAACTCGACGAATTGTAATCCACGATCTTCCGCTTCTGTACGAAACCAAAATCTTTACCAACACTGTCCTCCACTCTTCGTCTTTCAGTCCCATGAGTTTTTAAAAAGAATTCGATATTCAAGCAATTCGATCTTCCAATTTCCTCCAAACGATTCGACGGAACCCGATTCCGTCGTCTAACGTTCACCAAGGCCAATTTATCGAACCAGGATCCTGTGTGGAACATTTCAAGCTACATGAGGAAATGAAACCTCCTTCACAACGTATCAAGATATTGTTGTTCTTTCTAGAAAGTAGTTGTTTTATTTTCTTAAGCTCTGCAAGTTCCTCTCAGAGCAGTAGACTTTTAATTTTTAGTGAATAGAATCTTTGTAGTATTATAGGGAGAGGAAAGCATTCCCTTCATCGTCCAAGAAAATTTTTAATCTTCAGGAGTTGGAAACTTTTCTTCGCGGGAAACTTTTCTCCACAAGGATCTTCCAGTTTCTAGCTCTGGTATTTAGAAACTAGAAATTTCTCTCCAAAGTCTAAAAGAATCGTTAGGAAATGGAAACCTTGATCATTCACAGTGAAAAGTCATTTCCTTGGTAAAACTTCTAGGAAAGGAGTATAGCAGGTCATCGCTAATTGAAACTTAATCGTAGCAGATGATTCTCTTGTTCATGTTAATTGAACGCATTAATATCTTCACGGAGGTGTCTTCATAAAAATAGAAACAAAGTAACAATAATAACTAAACCTCCAATAACTGTAGCCTCACGATACTCCAAAACAAATCAACGACTTAGAATCTCTCCAATGAATTCAATTCTCCGTTGATAATAGCCGCCTCGGCGTCTTTCTCTAGCACTTCTTTTCCATCGTCCAACTGATCTTGTCCATCAGGATCGTTCACCAAGATGCTCTCCTCGCCGGTTCCCAACGCGTCCTCCGGCGCCAGGAACAAATTCGTTTTATCTTTACATTTCCTCTGATAATCAAGGTTATCAGGAGCAGGTCTGTGACAAGAATCGCAGATGGTGTCCGTTTTTGAAGTACAGGGATGCGCCTCGAAGAGGCCTGGACCGCATCTAGAGCAGATCCAGCACGGTTGGGTGCTGTGATGAGGGCTGTAGGTACCGGGTACGCATTTCCCGCACTCGGTGTCGCGGCCACGGATGCAACGATTCACTACGCCCCAACCTGGACCGCATCTGCTACAATGGCTACCGCCTTTCTGGTGTCTGATGCGCGGCCTGGCCTCGCTCACCTGGAACAAGGGCAGATGCGACTGGTTAGAGGGAATTCAAAATGTATCAGAATACGGCATTATATTGGCGACGTATAAGGGATTGTCTCTCTTACTTTTATGATTTTCCAAATTTTCAATCACGGAATTTCATTTTTATGCATTTACGAGACATTTTAAAGTGCAATAATAGGTACAGTGCTTTCTACAACGTTTAGCTGTAATCAGGTTTAATTGATTAAACTGAATTAACTTAAATTGCAATTATAATTAGCTATAGTTATAACTAGTTTGATTAAATCAACTTCTGTCTGTTCAGTTATATTCTCTCAAGTATAAGTTTGCATAAAAATTCACAATCTAATCGCTAGGTGTGGTTGCAATTCTTTTAGAAGATGCATTCGATAAGGGAACGACCCTTGGGAAACCGTTACGCAAACCGGTTTTCAAAAAAGTTTATAGCGAAACACCAGATGTAACGGAATTTGTAATTAGTTCTCAATTAACAACCGTTCAGAAAGCGCGATTAAAGATTCACAGGTTTTCTGTAGGATATCCAAAATTAAGAAATTAAACGTAAAATAATTTCTAACAATTGCTTTTGCAATGGTAATCGTTCTTCGTCTATTCAATAAAAAAAAAAACAAAAAATAATAAAACGAATTTTATCAAAAAATATACGACATTGACTTTCAATCAAACGTTGGCTGCAGACCTGGTAACCATTTTCTTCTAAATTTACCGTACAGCGTGGAAGAAAGAACAGGTGCCAAGGGATAATGCCACCTGACTACGGGAACACCTTGCGCCTTTCTTTCGTGCCTCGAACTGCATTCGAGATGCACCAGAAAACGTGCACGGTCAACATGCAAATTAGAATTTCTCGTAGCTGTAACTTGTCCCTTATTATATCCTTGCACTTTTTTACGACTGTCAGGCGTGAAGTTGATTCTTCACACGCAAATAACAAATCCAAAAAAATACGTAAGCCTCTTGTAATCTCGAGTATAATGGCGAATGAGTGGCAGTTCTTTTCAGCAAGAAAGAATACTTTCAGTTTAATCTTAATTCAGGTGAAAGTGTTATATCAATGTGCCTTGATGAAACTGTAATACATTGCTAAATGTCGAGATGGATCAGTATTTGGACAATTGATTGCAATTCGATTGAAAGATCGATATTTTTGTTCCTTTTGTTTCTTATTTTTAATCTTTGTAATTTTTTATATTCTACTGCGTAATATTTTCGTAATGTAAAATATAATATTTTATTTAATATTATATTTCAATATAATTTATTATATTTATTATATTTTAATATAATTTATTATATTTATTATATTTTAATATAATTTATTGTATTTATTATATTTTAATATAATTTATTATATTTATTATATTTTAATATAATAAAATATTTTATATTTTCTCTACTGTCAGTCCTTCGTTTCTTGAAATAATTGGACCTATATTATCTGTAATGAATACTTTAACACTTCACGAAATTTATAGAAACTTTTGAAATGTCACTAAAAATACATATCGTTCGGTATAAAATCTCAATGTGGGACAAATATACTTGAAGTCACTTAGACATCTCTGCAAGATAAATTTTCATCCGGCTTCAATCGAATTAAAAGTTAACTAAATTGTTTTGCCATTTATTTATTGCTGTCTGATAAATCAGGGGATAAATCACGTTGAAAACCATTTAAAATATCTACCTATTTCGAGATACAAATAAAAATAAATCTAGTTAAATATGTTATATCACTATTGTACCACTTTCCAGGAGGAAACAGCTTTCAACGTTATCCTCGATCTCAATTCACATCGACCAGTTCAATTTTATTTGAAAACGGATAGAACGAAATACTTCATAAATAGATCGACCCAATTCAATGTTTCATGCAATTCTTTGGAAAAAAGAAAAGGACGCAAACGTCCATATAATAATATATGCTTGTATATACACAATAATATAATGTTTTACAAAATAAAAAATATGAAATAATATTTTATACAAGAGAGAAGCTGTAAAGTACGATAAATACTGAATACTGATCCTTACAGTCTTCAGGCTTTTTTATCTGCGATGGCATTTTTATTTCTTTCAGAACTTTAAATTTTCCAAAGAACGTACATCAAATTTATACTTGTTAACAAAAACAAGCATATTTTTAATAATTTCGATACATATTCTTCAGAGTAAAAAAAGTGTTCTAAGGACTCTTATAAAACATTCTTATTTTTTAATTATTATTATTAAAATTAAACTTTTTGTAGTAGTGTTATTTTAATGAACATCTTTGACCCCGTTTTTTTTATTTGAGGTGCCGGTGAAAGTCACAACTGTCAACGCTAACTATATGTAAAAAGCAACTCCTGGCCAGTTGCTCCACGTTGCGATCGAACTTAACGTTCTCAATGAGGTCATCACAATTATAAATCATCCTTTTCTTCCAATATTTAAAAAAAAAAAAGAAGAAAACGCTTCTTTCACTCACACAGAGCGATCTGTATGTATCGTTATATTCGTGTGCCATTTTAGGCCAATCATACCGCGTTCTTTTCACCGATTTCGATCTGCTTGAATTATATTTCTCCAGCATTGAAAAATATCTTAATTCCTAATTGATATCACTGGACACTAAGAGTCGTAAGAATTTAGCTTTAATTTTGTTTAACATTGCTTTGATTTCATTTTATTACTAATCAGAGAAACTATACTTTATTACACTTTAAATATAGTGTGGTATAATAAAAATATCTTAAATTTTCCCACGATACCATTCGAGAGTTAAGTTCTTACTTACAACAACAAGCATGCATTATTTCTCTTGTAAGTTAAATTTTATGTCAAGTTTTCCTTCAAACATTACAAATTCTACTTGTTTCTTGTAACAAGAGTGAGAACGAGAAAAAATGTAAAAATTTGAGGGTCGTAGCAGGGTGAACGGAGATAGAAGATGGCGAAAATCGTCGTTTTGTGTAATAAAAAGAACGACGAGGTCCAGCGATACAGTTTAGTGACAGCTGGTAGGAGCCGGCTGCTGGCACGCGCCAACGGTCACCAAGCCATCAGGTGCATCATTGCACCGGGCACCGTTCGTTCGTGAAACCTCATTCGTCCTTTTTCTTCCTTCGTCGTTTTCGTTTTCTCCGCAATACCGAGCAACCATTTCTCTATCGGTTCTCTATCAATAGCGCGGGTCGCGGATTCATTCGCTCGAGAGGAGGTTTTTTAAATCGCTGAAAATATCGCGCTGCAGCAGTTCTCTTTTGGAAGAGAGAGGTTCACGACCGTGAGATTTTTATTTAGGCCGATCTTTAATTGGCTAGGATTTAACGTTTGACTCCGTTTGTAATGATTCCTCTCAAAGTCGACAAATTCTGTTTCATTCCTGCAACGAACGTATTTACAGAGAAAACAAAAGTTCGAGACAAAAACGCGCTATAATGCGAAATATAAATGTTCGACTATATGGAAAAAAATAGAAAAATAGTTTTTCAATTTAGTAAACAAGAGAACAAAATAGCACTGATATTCTTTTGTTACCTACAGGTTTCCTCGCGCGTGAAATGCAAACCCATTTATTTCCACCGAGAAAATATCGAGTGTCAATTGCATTATTAATACAAAAGAAATTTCTTCGTGTGTCACACTGAAGAAAAATGGAAAAAAAGAAAAAAGTAATATTGAACTCGGCTTGACATAATTCCGCGAAACGATGGCGACGATAAAGATACTTGTGTCTATCGATTTTTGTTATTTTCACTGACAATACATAAAACAACCGTGCCACGTAGAAGAATCCAATGATGGACAACACGAGCATAATGCATTAAGACAGGCAACGTGCACGTGTTCGTATATTAGAGTGTCATTTTATCGATGGTGTAACACGAGCCCGACTCCTCACGTAAGGATGCACCCTGTCAATTTGCGAGCGAGACAAGTCCGGTGAAAAGGGTTAATAACAGCGATCCTCCGGTGTCGGAGACAAATTATCTGACCCGTTCATCACACGTACGACGTATGCTACCCGTTTAATAAAGAAACTTAAAGATCGAGTTTGCCTCGAGTCAGTTGGCGATACCGCTGCCGCTTGCGGTTTTGCTTCTTCCATTTTTTCTTTTCTTTTCTTTTTTTTTTTCTTCAATTTCGACGTGAACGCAAACAATGAAATTACTTGTTTGGAAGTAACTCAGGCATGTTATATTATTTTTGCAACGTTTAACATCAATATCAAATATCCACAAATGAACTATTATTACAGCTAGACTAATATTTAATATTAATGTTATTACTGTTTGCTTACAATAAACAAAATAAGGTACAAATGAGGAAATGATTAATAAACAAAGAACAAATATTCGATCAAAGAGCGTTTATTGTAAGTAAATGGTAAACATTAAATAATTAATGTTAAATATTATTACAGTAACGTGGATTTTTATATATGATATTTGATATTGATATTTAATTCATTTGATAATTGTTGTCATTATTATTGCGGTGACGAAAATATAATATTAATATTTTAAAATATTCCAATATTTCTCCGATCCTTTAATACGCTTTGTATTTCATGTAAGCGTGTACAAAATGTGGTGTGACATTGACGTCAAACGAAATTACACAATTTTCGCTGGATTTTTAAATGAAAGTAACGAATTTCAAAAAAAAATATGCAATTGTTCTCGATAAAATTAGTTACGTACGGAAATGTTTGAAATAGAGGACATTTTTTGAGTGAGCTCCAAGTAGAGTATTAATTCATAGATTCAAGAATATCGTAGAAATCTACGCAATTATTCATTGTTTTGAAGGTAAACTTAGATCAGACGTATAGCATGTAAATCTTGGCTATTTCAGTTCAAAGCAAGACGAAATTAAAAGTTGAACGTTTGAACTAGTTTGAACGGCTGCCTCTGAATAACCTGAATTAATCAAAAACTATCCTTTTTTAATCTCGTACATATATCATTTTGTACATCATCACCATTCGTCATTTGTTA